AATTCCATCGCACCTAATCCTACTGACACTGCATCGCATATCTCGGGGTGATAGAACATCGGATAGGCCCATCCGATACAAATATCTTGGCAGTGCAATAAGGTAAATGATTGAGTTCTGACCACCATACACCTGTTGTTTTAAGTTTCTTTTGTCTTTGAACCAGTGTCTTGCTATCCTTCCAGTCATGCGCAGCTGCCAGAATGTCTTGTCAATTTTGCAGGCAGCCAATGGTCATCATCAGTATGTCTTCCTTTTTGCAAGTACACCAGGAGCAAAAACGAGTGCCTGAATGTGCTATAAAACCAGCAACTTTGTGATTGGCGACCATCACCGCCAGCAAAAATTACTCAGACAAGGCTGTCCGAGGTGTTCTTGGACAGTGAAGTCCAAGTTGATCTCGGTCAACCATGGTCCGAGATCAACTCGGACTTCACTGTCCGAGAACACCTTGGCCAGCCTTGTCCGAGTAATTTTTGCTGGCGGTGCATGTCACTGCAAAGATTAGCAAGTCAAACAGTCACCTTTTGGCCTTCTGGATAGCAATGAGTTTTGATGCTGATACTATGATCCAACACAAGTAATTGGTTGGTCAGACAGTGGAGTACATGACTGATAGTGGTCATATTGGGTTGGTTAGGTGCTGGAACCATTCCAGTGAGTAAAGTATGCTTCATCTGATGGCAAGAGCATGGTGGTAGATTTAAACAATGCATTGCAAATAATCCAATTGACACCTGCCTTCCTGAGGTCTTGTTTCCAAGGGGGTTAAACCAGTCAACAAAGAGAGAAAAGGCTAGGTGCAGCTCAGGAGTTGTGGTGGATGTTGTGTGATTTGAGCTAGCATATAGATGTTTTGAAGCTGCACACTGATTATAATATGTCACTTTGTTACCATCACTTGAGCTACATTTCTCTGTCCAGTCATCAATGGAATCTTCAATGTAAGGTATTGACAAGAACCAAGTAAGCCATTCTTGAAGGTCTTGAATAATAAATGTTGAGAGTGGTTGATTAAATTTTGCCTTCTCATGGGGACAGCAATGTTGTTTGGAGAGCTGGGTTATAGTTGGAAGTTCAGGTACAGTTTGCTGGGAAAAGAGTTTGGCTCCACACACTTGAATTGTTGATAGCTCTTGATAGCTCCATTCTGCTGGGGCAAACTCTGGCTCATGGAGGGAGTAGCACTTGGTACAACATACATAGCATTCAAGTTTGGGTTCAAGAATCAACTGCTTTGTTATTGTTTGAGCATCTCTTGGAACATAGGTGGTCCAGCCATCAATCAGGTGGACTTGAGTGCACATTTGAGTGATGCAGATGATAAAATCCCTAGCTTTCAAGCAGTTTTCCCAAGTCATTCTACATTCTAGATACAACCAGGCAATAAAGTACATTATAAGATCTAAATCACAGCACCAATTCTTTTTTTCAGCTAAATCAAAGAAGGTTAAACTGAAAATTTATCTTACAAACAAATTGGATCATACTGGGACCCAAAGAGCTATCCATATCATCATTATCAGAACATGCATCCACTGGATCAACATCTTTGATGTTGGCCTTTGCATGAAAATCTTCAGCCAATGCCTTCAGGATAGATGTATCATCAGATACAGCTGCCATTCTTGTCCTGTGCTTCCTACAAGTTCCAGGATGGACCCATAAACCCTTTGTTGTCTGCCCCAATGCATCTGTACATGTGACTTTGATGCACTTGAAGCAGGTGCAGAGCACCAGTCCCATGACTGACTCTGGCTGATCTGTTGGTGTGATGTTGTCCATAGTGAGTGTTGGGTGGAAGGTAGATGGGTTGTGGAGTTCAAGGGACACCAAGAAGGGTGTGAGGGAGGAGGCAAGGTGAGTTATTCAGGATGGTGATCATCAAGGTGATGCTGCAACATGGCAGCTGATGCTACTAAAGTTACAGTCTGTAGGAGCTGGTGCCACAGACCTGGTACTGTAGTGTCTGGGCAATGCTATACATGTAGCATCACTGCCAGCAGAAACTACTAGGACATGGTTGTTCTAGAAGTCCTAGGACCAGAGTTGTCCTAGATGTTCCTTGTCTGGACAAGGAAAAACTAAGACAAAGCCTGTCTGAGGAAATCTAGGACAAGCTTGTCCTAGATGTCTTTGTTGGCAGTGCATCAGCTCCTTGCCTGGGGTGTGAGTTCCAATCTTTCCCTCTGTGGGCAGTTTTCCTTGCACTCCTCTGGTTTCTTCCGAGCAAAGGAGCACCTTGTTGAGTGCAAAAAGTTCTGTGGGCGGCCGGAATCGAACCGGCATTTTCACGGGATTGCTAAGCCACAACGAGATTTCCTAACCATTAGAAGACGCCCACGTAAACAACGGCCCAGAAATTGGGTACTTAGGCGGATTGAAAAAGCATGATCCGCTGGGGCAACGTTAAGAAGCCAAACTTTCTCGGAAACTCCGTTGCCTCGGAGGTATGTTATAAGGTAAATGCAGATGACTGAGGATTATGAAAGATGAATAGCGCGTCATTTTTTTCGTGCTTTCACCTCCGAATATCTGATCCCACAACATCCACAACGGGGCATATATGTGAGAGTGAGTGCTACTATGAGACCAAGATGAATTACCAAATAGTTTTCATGTGGATGGACAGTGTATACGAGTCCCTGGTCCCCGGGTCTGATTGAAACTAATGTAGATGGAGACAATAGCAAGAATGTGAGACCAATTTCAAAGTGATGGATACGTAGGTACGATATCCACATTCACGATCAAGCTTCAATAACTTCCTAGGTATAACTCAGAAGCTAAATCAAGGGTACAGTGAAATGAGAGGTTACGACGAGTAAGAAGATACGTATATTGAAGACGTAAAACTGGAAAACAACAACAGGGCAAAAAAAAATGTGGAGTAAGTGGAAGGTGGACAGCGGGATCAAGGGACGTGATTGATGTTGTACAAATTCTGTTGAGGGCTTTTGAACAGTCGGACGTATTTGTTTGTACATTTCTTTAGTGCTATGTTGATCACTCTTTAATAAATTTGTTGGTTGGTCAAGCGGGCGATCCGTTGGTCAAGTGCTCAAAGGCAAGAAGGTATGTTGATCAAGTTGTCCGATCGAGGGGGTGACAGTAGGTTGATATATATGTACACCGTATTAAGTCGAAGCTGCGACAGCTTCTGGTGATGGGTCGGGATTCGAAGCCGGCGTATTGGGCACGTGCTCAGGTCCGGATGGGTCAGCTGTAGTATTTGGAGGCTACAAAGTCCGAACAGAAGGCAAAAGACCGGAGATCAGCACATTGACACGTAAGATATTTCAAAATGACAAGGCCAGGACGGTCGACTTACCACGTCTACTTCCTTGACTGGCTCATCCAGTCGGGCTTCCAAGCTACTAGAGACCGCCGATTGATTGAGGTTCGATTTGCCAAAGACTGAAGGCTTGACTCTAACCGATCAATCGATCGTGGCGGGGGTTTAATATCCGGTCAGAGGGAAAAATAGAAGTCATGTACTTACTTTGCATTGGCCCAACGCTTTCCTTTTTGGGAACTGAGCTTTTGAGTACAAGGCGAGACGAGAGCGTCAGAGGGAGAGTAGAATGAAGCACTGTGATGGAGACAAAGATAGCGAAGATTGGGTTAGCCACATGTCAACTAAGCGAAGCACAGTTGTGATATAAACCAGCAAGGAAATGTCTTCTACGCCTTTGCTAGCTTGAGTAACCAGCTGAAGGAAAGCACGAGAGGGATCGAGAAGGAAGGAGAAGAAAGTAACCTACCCGGTGGCTGCCATTTTCTTCGCCAATAGCGCCTTGCCCGTCATTAGACTTGCTCCATGGGGTACGTTCTCGACGTTATGAGGCACTTCAACGTGGGCCATCTCTTGTGGATGATGGAGAGGTTCAACGTCGACTGATGAGGCGTTGGTGGCAGTGGTCTCACTCGAGCATGGTGCCGGGATGGCTGGAGTTTCGGTCGATCGAGTCTCTTCTCCAGACATGATTTGTATGTTACCGTGGGCTTAAGAACAGCAAGGCAGAAGGGATAGGGCAAATGTAAGTTTAGGAAATTGGCGGTGGATGTCGAGGAGTTGTCCTAGTGGGATGGGTTTTAAGTAGTTGTGGCGGGAGAGTGAGCTTTAAAAAGTTAAATTAGAATTTTACATTACATATCATTTACTCATCGGACTCTCACAGCCCCTTCTATCACGCGCACGGTACAGTCTCTAACACAGTATAAATGACGCGTGCTCACTCCCAGAGTTGTGTCACACATTTCATCCTCTTTATCACGTCTTGTTGACACGCCCCAAAAGACAAATGGTCAGGTCAAATCACATATCCTTACGGTCTTGCCATAGAAACCATCTCATCATATAGTGTACTGCTGCTAGGTGCAAGTGGTAAATTCTTGGTGCCACCTTATCCAGAAAAAAATGGTGTAGTGTACTGTATTTGGCAAATGATCAAAATTGGATGACATTGGTATGCCATGGTATACTTCGAAACTATGGAAGCTCTGGCACTTGCTGACAATGCCTGACTTTGGGTTCAGATACAAATGTTCATCTTTACATTTGTAGGTGACAAAACTGTCAAAGTCTCTGCTAGCCTCAGTGGTCTTTTGTTGATGAAGTTGGGAAGGGGTTTGATACAGCATGTGAGATGATGTATGACAACTCCTTTATCAGCTTGGTACAGCCGTTTACGAGGACAATTGGGCTGAACGCATAAGATTGTACATATCTTACTTGAGGCCTATTAGAGTAGGCGGTTTCAGGTTTGGCTTTTTTTGTGTTGGCTTTCTTAATAATACACTAGTTGCTATGCGCTAGAAACTCGAAAACTTTGTGCTGGGTTTTTTATAAATTTGTGCTGGAAATATTTAAACTTGACACCCCCTCATGATACAAGAACATTTACTACAGTATGAAGAAGTCAAACCACTGATGAGACCGTTATCAGGCAAATTTAACTAAGTCCTCTTGCTGGCTTCTACAAGTCCGCTCCAGTGAGAATTAGTCAAGTTTGGTCATGGGCTATTCACATCTGGGAAGGCCAATGCATCTTTGTGTGACAAGTTGCCTGGCGGCTCAAAAACTGATGGATATGGGCCAAGCTCACCAATGAAGACACTCTCACTCAAAAAACCAACTGTACCAGTAGACGCACCCCCATCATATTGTACCAAAAACAGCCACTAGCAACCTTTTCCTTGATCAAAAACAACCGCAGGAGTTTTGCTAGTCGCTAGAAAAAACATTGTGTTTGATGGCTGAGAGCGCTAATGACACATTAATCACTGGACCAGAAAAAAAGGTATTCAATGTACTGTCATTAATGAGCAAAACGCAGATGGACCTAGTGCTTAGTGTTTGGTTCCTCAAAGATACAGTAATGCTTTGTACATCCAGTATTGACTCTCAAAGATGAGATTCTGTTTGTTTCCTTGACCCTGAAAACATCGTAAGGAAATTACTTATTACCAAATAATTGGTCTATTGATCCCTTTTTGAAGTCAGCAGAGAGAAAACATATATGAATTGAGGTTACGATCAACAGGAACAAATGTTAGACAAGACAAGGAAAACACAGAAAGTGTGTTGCTCTCTGGAAGATGGGGACAGATCTTGAGAGAAAATCATCGGATACAAGCAACAGTAGGAGAATAAAAGGACAAGTAACGACCGTGAAAAGCTATAAACAAAAAAACGGGAAGGGGAACTTATAGGCTTTGCGCATGAGGACGTTTTTATGGTTCTGGCTAGCAAATCTCATCACAAAACATCTCCAAGTAAAAGGATCAATACAACATTCCAAAAGAGATGAATTGCATGTATGTTGAACTCATGTCCATCGGTGTCAAGAATTCGATATCAGAAGCAAATGTGACCAGTATTCAAACACAGATACTTGATGACAGCTTAGTTGCCAATAATATTTACACCATTTAATCTGACCATGGCAGTCTTCAAGTTGACCAAGCTAGAAGATAAGTGTGTAGTCACATTGATAGAAAAAACAAGTTTTTGGTCATGTCTTATTAACAAAGATCTTTCAGGAATCCTTTGTTCAAGGGATTTTGGAATGTTTTAAATTTACAGAGCCCAAGGATGAAATTCGACATAAGTCCATGCTCCAAATTGACTACGTCCAATGTTTGCAATGCGTAAAACTAAAAATAAAAAACATTGACCCAAATGGGAAAAAAAAAATTTCAACTGGTTTACAAACATGACTGAGTAGATTTTATCAGCAAAAAATCACTGCTTGTGGTCATCTAAACCATGTTTACAAATCATAAAACCCTGCCAAGCATTACATTTCCCCATTTGGGCAAAGAGCTTTATGTTTGCGACGCAATTTGATAGAAGGACTGGTTTATAATTCCTCCTGATCACACAGAAACCAGCATGTTGGAGTGCAGTGGCATAATTTGAATGCACTAAAACTATGATAGTCATAGTGGGGCCGATAGCATAGTTTTATAGTTGTAGTTTAGTGCAACTATTTCATAATTGGCTCTGCTACGCTATGAGAATTCCAAAAATGTTCATAACGGAAGCCATTAACGCTAATAGTGCAGCATAATAGCACCCATAGCGCATGTTTTTGGCGCCAAGTGGTCCATACCGGGGCCCAACTATGCTATGGGGCATTTCCGCAGATCAATAGCGGCAGAATCGCGTCAGCGCGCTATTCTATAGCGGAGAAGTGGATCCAACTACGCTATAATTTAAAACTGTGGTGGTGTAGTTTGGCATAGTGGTTCACTGTTGAGTGGCATGACCATCACTTTCTGTGGCACACACACTCCCGACGGAGGTGTTAGGCTTGCGGACACTGTGCAAGTAGTTATAAAAAGTGTAAATATTTAAATACTTTTGTGAAAATACTGTCAAAACCCACTGATACAGGAAATAATGCTCTCACCTCTTCTTTAAACAAGCTGTATAAGACCTTGAACAAAAAAAAAAAAAAATTCTCTTCATATTTGAAGATGACTAGTTTGTATTACAAGAATTATGAGTTTCATGGACCTGTGGTAAACTTGTTGCAATCAACCGGGGTAAGACTACAAGCATGGTCACAATGTTGTGCAGTTAATGTATTAATGCTCCTAAGACATGCAATACAGATTGCATTGGTGGTGCACAAAAATCAGCAACAGTAGCTTACAATTTGACAACAGTGAAGAACAATGTATCCTAGATGGAGGAGACTTTATAGGCTAACTACATGGTGGCTCAATTGTGGTTCTAGATAGCAGACCTAGCCACAAGGAGAAGCTTGTCAAAACTCTGATCTTGAAGACCCGAAGCTCAAACTGAGACCTGTTGTTTTAGTTTCATTATGACTG